TAGCTTCGAACTCCTGAGGTCAAACAATCCGCCCGCCTTGGCCTCCCAGAGTGCTAGGATTACAGGCGTGAGCCACCGCGCCCGGCCCAAGCCCTATTTTTAAAAATAAGTTAAAGTTCGTAAAAACTTCCTAACAGGTACATCAATAGGTAAACAGAAAAAATAGCAGTTAGCTAATTATCAAGGGGTTTTAAAGAAGGAAATATTTTGAAGTGTTCACTTACTAGCTCCGCTTCCAATTGTTCTATGGAAAAGTTGTGACATCCGAGGACCAAGAGGACCAAACAGGTGAGGAGGAAGACCCCTGGCCTCTAACAGAGCTAAAGAGAAAAGAAGGGCAGGGGGAAGAGTTGAGTTGATTTAATGCAACTGATCCTATCTAAAAATTTCAAGTAACTGATTCATCTCAATTAACTGACTTAGCCAATCTTACTTTCCATTCTGAACTTTGAGAAGCTACATTAAATTTTCAAGACCACCCTAATATATTAATGTAATTAATATAAATTAAAACACACATGTGCTAGCTTAGCTCCAAGTATGGTTTTATGGAGAAATAATAAAATCAGTGCCAGAAGGAACTATGTAAATAGTCCAAGAAAAGCTCAAGGTAAATATATATATTTTGAAGAAATTATATGTTAAGCACCTTTGTCCTGTTTTCTCTCTGACATTATTTTCCAATTAGATATTGGTCATGAGACCCTTTATAAAAACATTATGAAAATAGCACATTTTTATCAGTTTAGTAACATTGTTTTTATCATTAACAGTATTTTTATCAGTTCCAAAAAGTGAGAAAAACTATGTGTTCTTAAGAGTCCTAGTCAAAAAGAGACAGTTCTAAGTTCCCTCAGGATCTTAAGAGCAATCTGAAACTGACATATAAATAATATATTTCTCATAAGCCTCACATTGGGGATCTATTATAAATCAATAATCTGAGATAAAAATATATACCCATCCATTTGTAAGGAGTGTATGCATAGTATTAATATAAGACTACTTTTTATAAAAGCATTTACAACACTGAAAAATCTGGAGTTTATGTATATACTATACATTCATTTTAAAAGAAGTGATCAAAAAGACAAAAGAACATGGCCAAAAAACACCTTACTAGATGCATTCATAATGTTATCAGGCACTGGAGAACAATACATTAAAGCTATTCCTTTTTGAAGTTGTTTCTTAATTTATTACTAAAATCAGCTACACATCTAACCACAATAAAGAAAATTTTTAAAACAAAGCTATGTAAGATTCTGTCTAGTTAAACAATAAAAAAGGAAGAGGAAGATAACTCATTTTCTAATCCTAAATCATCAAATCACCACTAAGAAAAAGCAGCTTTTCTCAAGGTACAGGCAACTGTTAGATTATGCTCAAATGAATTTATCTGAATTAATCTCCACAAAGAACAGCAGGAACAGGCAGCTCATGGTAATTATTTCTCACTTCTCACAGGCTCAATAACTGTCTTTACCTTGTAATCGTCCCATCTCGGAATCATCTGATTCACTCTCCCCAGAGGTGGTCATGCCAACAGCCCCTGCAACAGAACTAGAGGCTGGGGGTGGGTGTGGGGGTGGGGAGCATAGAAGGTAAGGGTTAGGAGAGGAGCACTTAAATTCATTATGTCTGGCTTATCTTAAGAAAGAAAAATCAAAGTTTTGTGGACTACAATAAACAAAGGCAATTAAACCTATCTTCCTACTGCATAATCAGCTGTTCTAGACTTCATCCTGTAGGTTTTGAAACAAAAGTGTAGCTCAACTATTTTAGTATTAAACAAGCATAAAAATACAACCTTTGCATTTCATTCATACATGGCTTTTGACAAATTTCTTAAGCCTCTCAAAGTGCTCTCAAATAAAGTCTTGTCCTGAACTCCTCTACTGAAGGTCAATAAAGACAATACTGCTAAAACCACTGTGATGTATTAATATAATAGATGGCCAATTAGTCACAAAAATAATTAAAAGCTAAACTGACAATTGGGGGAAATGTTCTATGCAGATGTGTGCCTTCTAAGTCTGCTTTACTCCTGGACTTTGGACTTGATACAATCATTACCTGGTTTCTCTAATTTCAAGAGTGTGAAAAGATATTATAACTAACAGATGACTGCAAAACATTGCTATGAAGTATGAGAGAGAGGGCAATAAGATGTCAAAACTAGTGTAGAATCAAGAGTTAAGACTCAGGACACTACTATACTACCCAAAAATGTTACCCCGACCAAAAACCGTCTGAGCTAATAGAGGTAGATTGTATTATGAATCTGACCAAGAGGTGAAAATATATTCCCCTGCAAGACTAGCACTTTACTGTGCCTCTAAGTGTCTACTGAGCTCTAAAGGACTTTTTCCCCCCTTACACAGATGATAGATCTACATACGATCACATTATCCACAATACATTAAGCCCTGTATACGCCACAGATAATGGCAGAATGCAAGCCAGGAACAATAGTTTTGTCATTACTGTTAAAGAGGCATGTGAATAATATGTAAATTTAAAGAGTTTCTCTGAAGAAAGAGATGCCAATACACAAGCCATCAACTTGGTATTTTCATAATATCTTTCATCACCTTCTATTAAGTATTTTCTATAACTTCATTGGGATTTTTAGAAAATTCTTTAAAAAATTTATGGTTTGGAAAAGGGTCAGCAAACTATGGCCCAAAGGCCAAATCTAGCCCACTACATGGTTTTGTAAAGAAAATTTTATTAGAACATAGCTGTACTCATTCATTTACATATGTCTGTGGCTGCTTCAATGCTACGACCACAGAATTGAGTACTTACAACAGAAACCGTATAAAGCACAAGACATTTACTATCTGACCATTTACAAAAAACATTGGCAACTCCCATCCCGAAGGTTTATAGCTACAGATTAACCAGAAATGTTAATGTAAAAGGGTATCAAGGTTTAGCCAAATCTGCTCTTCTGGTGAAGAAAAATGAAACAATAACTGTACTCTATAATGCTATTTATAGGTAGCATTTATTAAATGTTTACTATACGCAGACATTGTCTATATGTTTCCTTATAACTATACAAAGAGGTATTATGAGCTTCATCATGCACCCGTGGAAACAGAGGCTTTGTGACTTTGACTATACTTGCCCAGAGTCAAATAGCTAACAATGGATCAGAGATTTGAATCCAAGCAGTCTGACTTCACGGAGTGTATCCTTAAGAACTATACAACTCAAACATATTCTTCAACAGTAATTTTTAATTTCAATTCAGTTATTTCTTCCCATTATACAGAAACCCTGTTAACAAATACTGTTGCCGGGTACAATTATGACTGGGTTTGTTAAAATGGCTCTTAAACTTCCATCTATGTGGAAAGCAAATACAAAGTTTTAACAAATAAAATAATTGGTTTTCTTTTCTTTCTTTCATTCTTTCTTTTCTTTTTTTTTTTTTTTGAGACGGAGTCTTGCTCTTTTGCCTGGGCTAGAGTGTCATGGTGCCAGCCTAGCTCACAGCAACCTCAAACTCCTTGGCTCAATTGATCCTCCTGCTTCTGCCTCTCAAGTAGCTGGGACTACAGGAGCATGCCACCACGTCGAGCTAAATTTTTCTATTTTTACTTGCCTGGCTAATATTTTTTCTTTTCTTTTCTTTT